TTTTTTCTTTTGGGACAGGATCTCCTTAGGCAGTTAAGGCTGGCCCGGAGCTCACTTTATATCCCAGGCTGGTCTCGAACTCACAACGATCCTCGTGCCTCAGCCTCCCACATGCTAGGACTTCTGGCCTGTGCCACCAGCGTGCCAGGGTTCCTAAATCTTAAAGAAGCAGGGAACTTAGTAAAATTGAAGGAAGTGTAAATGGAGAAATGTTAAGTGAAATAGGGGGAAAATAAAATATACACTGTCACCAAACCATGGCATTTATGTAAAAGAAAAGTAATTAAGTGCCATTTGGCGTGGGCCTTCAGTGCTGTTTTTCTCAGCAGTGAACCAAGGGCTCAGACTTGGTTTCTCTCTCCAGCAGCTCGTAGTCTGTGATGTTGACTCAGACATTGCGGACCTCGGCCCTGAAGTCACACCTCAGTGGCTGCCTTTTTATTTACCAACCACAAACCTGAAGCTAATTTGTGTGTGTGTGACCAGGGATTGAATTTAGACCCTCGTGCTTGCCAGGGAAGCGCTTATTCCACTGGGCCGTCTTCCCGGCCCCCTGAAGCTAAATTTTTAAAAGTCCTTAAATAACCAGTTATAGGCCTCAAATTAAAGCTGAAGGGCACACCTGTGCCCTTGTGATGTGAGGATTAATTAATATAGGCTCTCCTAGGTCATGTCGCTTTTTAAAGTGTACTTCCTCTATATTTTTATTTATTTTTTCTCTTCTACATTTTATTTGTTTTTTGATGGGACTGGGGATTGAACTCAGACCCTTGCGCTTGCCAGGCAAACGCTTACTCTACTGAGCCATCTCCCCAGCCCCTCCTTTACATTTAGATACAAAAGTGGAAAGAAACATGGACAGTCACTCTTCTACAAGTGGACTGTAACATTTACATACTGTGCACAGAGATGAGTCTGAAATTATACACATGTAAATGTACCATATAATTAAATTCATATGGAAATATATGGAAAGGTACTTAAATATTACCTTTCTCTGGTCCTAAATTTTCCAGCATTTAGAATACTCTTGCCTACTGGAGTCACTGAAAGTCTGTATTGAATAAATTTGTTTAATTAAATGAGATTAAAGAAGCATATGGGTAAATTCCATTGCTAAAGAACAGCCTTGCCAGGGACAAGTGCAAGGTTATCTGTTCAATCCCTAGTACCAAAAATAGAAAGAAAGAAAAGCCTTGCTGGGGGCTGCCCCTTAGCTCAGTTCTTTAAGTGGCTGCTTCAACAAAGCAGTCAGGCTCAGGTTGCTGTGGTTCGATCCCCACAGCTCAAGCCAGCCAAACCTGCCCTTGAAGGCATTCGGAGCAAAAAAAAAAAAAAAAGAAAGAAAGAAAAGCCTTGTTGAATACTATCATAAATTAGCATCTACTGCGCATTACATAATAGGAAGCTTTGGGGATGTCAAATGATTTTTTTGTTGTTTGAAGACTTAAAATGTCCCTGCGTTGAGGGTAGACCCTAAACCCAAGTGAGCAAATGGAAAGGAGTGCTACACAGCTGCATAAAGGCATTAGCCTCTAGCCGCTCGGGACAGGCCTACCACTCACTTATCATCACGTGCATTACACTATTGCAGAAACACACTAAAGAATAAGTAGTGGTTAAAAAAGAGATTTGTGTAGAATCCCACAGTTTCAAAGGAACAGTGAAAGGAAAGAGAAGAATGGGTAAGAAGGAAAATAATTAAAAATAAGAAAAGCTGATGATGAGTAGAAGTGGGGAAATAGATCAATAAAGGCTGTTGGTAGTCGTGTTAGCTCGTGAGGCTAGTATATTACAGCTGGGAGTGCATAACCCAGTTTAGTGATGAAAAGGCTTATGGAGGAAGCTGGAACTGGACAATTGCACGGCCAAGTGGGAAACCCCAGCCAATAGTTTATGCATCTCATAGGTTCTGTTTCATTGTCCTCTCTAGGTTTTGTAAGTCTTCCTAACGTCTGTGTAACTAACAAACAGAGCTTTTCCAAAAATATTCATTTGAGACTAGCACCGCAGTGGGAATCATACAGCCTTTGAATGGGAATGCCCAGGGAGGCTGAGGCAAGTTAGATATTAGGAACAAGATGCTTGATCACACCGAGTAAAAACAAAAATGCTGTCTGACTGAGATGGAATAATACAGTGAAAATACTTCATGTCAATAAATGTATAACAAATGAGATGGGAAATTCCCTTAAAATTTCTTTTTACTATATTTGGTACATGGTACAGGGTCTCACCGCACAGCTCAGACTTGTAGTGATCCTCCTGTTTTCAGCCTCCCCAGCACTGGGATTACAGGCGTGCACCACAATGCCTGGACTCAGTGGGTGGCTCAGTGCGCCTGAGGGTAGGGCTGGCACAGGGGATTGAACCCCAGTCCCTGCACTTGCCTAAGCAGGCACTTAATCTGCTGAACTATCTTGCTGGCCCAATATTACCTTACTTAAAAAGAAAGAAAGAAAGACTCTGATGAAATTGAAGATCTTGACATGAGGAGCTCCTCCAGAGAGGGCTGTATATTCCATCCAGTATCCTTAGCGAAGAGTGACAAAGATAGATTACACCTGCAGAAAGAAGCACAGAGCAAAAAAATGGAGTAAGAGGGGCGCAATAAAAACCCTACAGATAACAGAAGCTGCGGGAGGCAAGGAGTAGACTCCCCAGAGCCTGCAGAGGTAGCATGAACCCGCTAACACCTTGATTTGTTTGGCTTAGTGAGGTAGCATAGTCATCTCTAGAACTGTTTTTTCCCCCCTCAAAATGTTACAAAGTCTATGGTAGTTTGTTACAGTAGGTTGAGAAAAGAAGCACAATAATATAGGGGCAATCCTTGATGTGTGATGGTGAGATTTAAAGAGTACAGTGTGCTGCGAAGCTAAACCATGATGGCCCCTAGGCTAGAAGTAGTGAGCACATTTCTAATTTTATGACAGTTTGAACTTGTGCTTGGCTTATTATCACACAGCAATGTCATGAAATTGGGAACATCAGTTTTTAATGTTAACTTTGATCATCTAGAAAGGGAATGGGAGGTAGAAATTAGAAGTGGAGAGGAGAGTCAGGATGTGCACCCGCACTTGACCATCACAAAGCCATTGCTGTGTATTAAAAATAGGTGGTTACAAAACAGGAATGCACATTTATGAAAATGTATACCAACAAAAAGATTTGCATAAGCACTTAAGACTGGTTGCTAATGCGGAAGGAGAATGCGTATAGAGACAAGGAAATAAATGCCAAAGGAAATGAAAAATTCCACTGCATGCTTGCTAGGAGGAAGTGGGGAAAGCTTTCTGTTAAATGAAAAGGAAAAAAGATAGTAAAGAAATGTAGAACAGAAAAAGAGCAGAGGGCTGGCCAAATAGCTCAGCCAGTTAAAGCGCCTGCAAGCAGACACAGGGCCTTGGGTTCGATCTCCAGGCCTGCCATGAGGGCCCTGCTCCTGGGGCACGCTGAGAGGGCAATAGAAACTGGGCGTGGGGGCGGGCGCCTGTAATCCCAGCTCTTGGGAGGTTGTAAATAGGCAGATCACTACGCGTCGGATCTAGTAGTGAAACCCTGAACACTCTGTAGACCCTTCCCTAAAAAATACAAAGGAAAAAGAAAAGAAAGAAAAAGAGCAGAAAGTGAGGAGCAGTTTGCCAGATCTGCCATACAGACCTGCTCCAAAACAGAGCAAGCATGTGGATGTAAAAAATAATTCAACACATTGAGCCTTTGCCAGAGCTCAGCCTTGTACTTAGGGTGCTTCTAAAGCCTCTTGCTCCCGGGAGGTTTTCCGGTCCGGCAAGGCCAAAGGTGACGTCACTTCCTCTGGAACTCAGGACTCATTTTGCCGGAATACACAGTCCTTTCAGTAGGTTTCTATTATAAAACCCGTTGCACATAGGAGCAGGTAATTAGACATTACTGTCTGTTTTATCTCTCAGAAGGAGGCGGGCCACAGAGGGCAGAGGCTGGGAGCGAATCATTCATCTTTAAATTCACAATGTTTGGCGCAAGATGCTAACTCGACAGCCTTTTGCATTAGTCCGCAGAAGTTTTCCCTGTCTCCAAATTTTCGACCTTCCCAAATAGTAAATAAGGAAAAGGCATATGCAACCTATCTTCTGTGTGCATACCAGAGCGTTGTAAAGGTGAGATTAAGGTAGAGTCACATGTTTAGAAACCTTATCAGCCTGAGCTACCCTGAAAGACAAACCTAATTGCGCTTGCGCACATGGAAAGCCGACCTGGGCCCCACGTCACACAGCTCCTAAGTGCCCTGCATTCAAACTCAGCTTCTCCTCCAGATTCTCCCCAGCAACGCCACTGGCTCCTCCACAGTTAATTATCAAGCACGCTGAAACCTTTTCTGAGGTGTTTCACGTAGTTTAATTGTTTTCCGGTTTCCTAGTGTTCAGGTTTAAGGGTTGCAAACATTACCTCATTTACACAGGGCAAGACAACTTTTTGAACAGTATGTGTCTAATTTTCCAACCTGCTTTTGTGCGTTTAAGGCAGAAACACCCAACTACAGGAGATGGACCCCCGCCCTCTTCCTCCGCCTCCTCCCCCACCGCGCATGCGCATCAAGGGCCGCAGTGACAGCCGCAGCCGGCTCGAGTAAATGAATGAATGCGGGACGCGCGCAGCGCCTCCTTCTCGGCCCCGGCCCCGCCCCAGAGGCTCCGCCTCCCCCATCGGCCCCGCCTCTTCCCGCGGCCCCGCCCCCAGGACCTCTCTGAGCCTAGGACGCTGCTGAGCGCTGGGCTGTGCTTGCTGCCCGCGAGCCCGGGATGCCAAAGCCAGGCTGAGACTTATCCGCCCCCGCCGGTCCGGTCCCTTGGAGGAAGGTGAACCTGAGGTCACGGCTGGACCCGAGCCTGAAGTCCCCGTGCCGCGCATGGATGTGTCCGCTGACCCGGCCGTTGGGGGACCAGGAGGTGACGGGGGCGAGGCAGGGCGCGGGGTAGGGGGGTGCAGGCGGACCCAGAGGGAGCTAGCTGACTTCAGGGGCCAGAGGGGTTTGTTTCCGAGAAGCGAATGAGGCTACGGCGTGACCCTGGGGTTCGGGCGAACTTGCTTTTTTCCTGGAGCTGGAGGACTGCTCGGGCTATTGTCACGACTTCTTCTAGAGCTCTGCGTGGAGAACTGCGCGTTTAGGGACTTAAGAATGCGCTCTGGGCCGGGCCTGCTCCTATGCTGTGACCCCAGCGCTCTGCAGGCTCTGGCAGGAGGATCGCCCAGGCTCTGCGTCACAGTGGGGTCAAGGCCGGCCTGACTACAAAACGAGGACCCCCCACCTCCCCACCCTGACACACACACACACACACACACACACACACTCCCCACATTCAAACAAGTGTAACACTAGACAAAAGCAAAACATTGTCTTCATTCACTATTATTCCTCTGTTAACTTTAGCTCTTTTCTGTTCTTCAGCTACTCTCAAAATTTTAGATACTTTTAAAACTTCCTCGTGGTGCACTGATTTCTTTCTTCTTTTTCTTGAACCACAACAATTCTCATGAAAACCACCACAGTCAACTGACGTATATTTTTCCCAAAACCAGTTATTTAAGAATGACTAACAGAGGCTCCTGCCTGGCAAGCATAAGGTCCTGAACTTCATCCCTGATACAAAAATCAAGTTAATAGATTTGCATGAAGGTTTGCATACCAGCAATTGTTTGGGTATCATTTGGTTAAGTGATAACTTCACCCTGGGAACCAGTGTGAAATGAATTGATTCAAAGGAACAGTAATTAGTATAGGGAAAGAAGCGATTTCCAAATTTGTGACAGTTGTCTGATGGTATATTAATTCACCGATTGAGAGACTTAGGTTTTTTACCTGCTGTTTATACTTCACTTGGCTCCAGTACTGCCCTAAGAGTCCTAATAGACAGCTAGCATCACACGCATCCAGCACCGCACATGTGGCAGATGAAGTTAATGACTTCAGAAGAAAAGGGGGCATTTACTTCAGAGAGTTTTAACCATGTAGGGGGGCCAGGGAGATAGCTCAGCTCAGTGAAATAAGTGCTCACCTGGAAAGCGCGAGGTCCTGAGTTTGATCCCTGGTACCACCAAAAATAAAAGCTTTACCCATGGAGATCGCCTTTCGTCCAAGTTGAAGGGACTTAGGGAACACCAGAGAAAGAGGCAGAGCAAGCCAGGTGGCTTCATAATTTCTGCATGGAAATTCTAGCTAAGGAGCAGTAGATAAATGAAAGTGAAATGTTTTCATCACAGTGATGGCAGGCCAAATAGCTCAGCAGGATAAAGAGTTCGATTCCCAGCCTGCCATGCTGGCCTCACTCCCGGGGGATGCAGTGAGACAGAAATTGAGACTGAGCGTGGTGGCACGCGCCTGTAATCCCAGCTCTTGGGAGGCTGTAAACAGGCAGATCACTGAGTCCGATCTAGTAGTGAGACCCTGAACACCCTATAGACCCTTCCCTAAAATTTAAAAAGAGAAAGTTGCAGTGAGGTCCCAGGATTATTTTTCATTTGGTCCTTTATGCAGTTTAAAATAGCCTTCAGCTCAACAACTATCTTAAGTCTGTGTCACCCGTCACAGAAATGACACTTTTGCAAGTGTAATTCTAGTTACACGCCTATCATTGTTGCGTGTTTGCTTTCAAGGTGATGGCCCAGAAGAAAGATCAAGAGATACACCAAGGCGGCTCTCCAGGGATCAAATTTTTATACTGATCTCAGCAGCTTCCATGAACTTGGGCTCCATGATGGCGTATTCTATCCTCGGACCTTTTTTCCCCAAGGAGGTGAAACTTTTTTTTAAAATCTTATGAACTTATGTTTTAAAAAGCTCTTTCAGCTATTTTACTGTACATAAGTATAAAAATCTGCATGTACCTTGAAATGGCACCCCATGCCTATAATCCCAGTACTCTGGAAGGCTGAGACAGGAGGATTACAAATGCAAGCCTAGTGACATAGTGAGACTCTGTCTTAAGAGAAAGAAAATTTAAAGGTTGGGGTTGTGGCTCAGGGTGAAGGCCTTCGTTTCAATAATCAGTACTACAATACATGAATGAATAAAATCTTTGTACAGTATAGATAATGTATCGAATTTCAGCCAGCAGAGTTATTTCTTATAGGCTGTGTGATGACTTGTATTTAAATGTCTCCCCCTTACCCTCCATTTGCTCATGTACACTGAGGGGAGCACTTTATAGGTGGCTGGATCATGGGGTACAATGCAGGGATTAAGGGTGAGGTATAGACTTAGCCCACTAATTGGTTTAGCATAGTTCTGGGTGTAGAAAATGGGAAGGTCCCTCCTGGATGTGCTGTGGCCGGTGGAATAAATGTAAAGGGAGGCTTGCTGCTGCCTGTTGCTGCTTGTGGCCCTCTTCCCTGCCCTGCCATGGGCTGTTTCTCCCCTGTGATGTCTCTCTGCTGTGCTGCCCTGCCTTGGAGCCAGCTAGTTTTAGACTGAAACCTCTACAAACCGCAAGCCAAAATAGACCTTTTCTCTTTTAATTTGTGGGTGTCAGGTATTTTGTTCCAGCAATGGGAAGATAATGAAGACAGACTGTTTAATACCAACAGACAAAATGAAAGAACATCCTATTAGAGAGTAATTCATCTAAAATATAACTGACCTTCCTAGAATTACTTTACTTGATTCAGCTTTATTTGGTTGTCTTCCACTGAAAAAGCAGATGCACTGAGAAACTGAGATTTTAATGTTCCTGTGACAGGAACTAAGGCAGGAACTCTGCTTTCTGGTGTTTTGATTTACTAATACTTTGAAATTAGAAAAGTGCTCCACTGGACCTTCAACTTACTCTTTTCATGTTGTGGACTGGTGCCAGGGACTTCACAGCTGCCTTTATTTTGGACAGTGTCTCTCTGAGTTGTCCAGAAAAGACTTGAATTTGTGATCCTTCTGCCTCAGTCTACCAAAGTGCTAGGCTTGCAGATAAGTGCCAAACATCCAGCTATTAATTTTTTCTGACTTGGATTTCTCATAGATTGCCGCAGCAGACTAAGTAGTTAAAATTGGCAGGACTAAGTTCTTAAATTTTTTTTTTTT